TATATCCTGGAGAATGTTTCATGTGCACTTGAATGTGTATTCTGTTTGTGAATGGAATGTTCTGTAGATATGTTAAACTCATCCAGTCTAATATGTCCTTCAAAGATGCTTTTTCCTTATTGATTTTCTGCCTGGATGATCTACCCATTTATGTAATTGGGGTGTTAAAGTCTCCTACTCTTACTGTATTACTGTCAGTCTCTCCTTTTATTTGCTTTATTATTGTCAGTCTCTCCTAACATTTGCTTTATGTATTTAGGTGCTCCATTGCTGGGTGCATAGATATTTATAATTGTTAGGTCCTCTTATTGGATTGATTCTTTTATCATTATGTAATATCCATCTTTGTTTCTTGTTAGAGTCTTTGTTTGATAGTCTATTTTGTCTGATAAAAATAGTCTATTTTGTCTGATAAAAATGTTGCTACCCAGGCTTTTTTTTTCCCCACTTGATTTGCATGGAATATCTTTTTCCATCCCTTCACATTCAGTCTGTATGTGTGTTTAGATGTGAAGTGAGGTCTTGTCAGTGGCATATTGATGGGTCTTGGTTTTTGTTTTGTTTTGTTTCTATCCATTTTGCCACCCTAGGTCTTTAGATTGGAGCATTTAGTCCATTTACATTTAAAGTAGTTATAGGTAGCTATGTACTTGTCATTTTATTGTGTTTTTGGTTTTTATAGTTCTTCTCTGTTTCTTGCTCTCTGATGAATTATTATCTATAGTGTTTTGCTTGGCTTTCTTTCTCTTTATTTTTTGTGTATCTGTTTTGGGTTTGGGGTTTGTAGTTACAATGAGGTTCATATATAATATCCTAAGTTTATAGCAGTCTGTATTCATTTCTTTATTGTTTTTTGTTTTGTTTTTACTTTTTAATTAAGGCCTTTTCCACTTAAGTCCCTTTAACATTTCTTGTAAGTCTGATGTAGTACTGATAAACTCCTTTACTTTTGCTTGGGAAGTTCTTGGTCTTTGCTTCAATTCTGAATGATAATTTTACCATATCGAATATTCTTGGTGGTAGGTTGTGGGTGGGGTGGTTTTCTTGTTTTCCCTCTCCGGACTTTGATTATATCATGCCACTGCTTTCTGGCCTGTAGTGTTTCTGCTGAAAATTCAGCTGATAGCTTTATGGAGTTTCCTTTGTATGTAATTTTTCACTTTCTTGCTGCTTTAATGTTTTTCCCTTATCTTAAACCTTTGACATTTTTATTATTCTGTGTCCTGGTGTAGATCTCCTTAGGTTCATCTTGTTTTGAACTCTCTGTGCTTCCTGAACCTGAATGTCTGTTTCCTTCCCTATGTTAGGGAAGTTTTCAGCTATTATTTATTAAGTTTTCTGCTCTTTTTCTCTCTCCTTCTAGGACCCTTGTAATGCAGGTGTTTGCTGCAAACAGTTCCTGTTATCAAAGATATCCCTTAATATCATCATTTTTTTTTAGTTTTATTTATTTTTTTATTATTTTTCATTTTTAAAAAAATTTTTTTAATGTTTATTTATTTTTGAGAGAGAGACAGAGTGTGAGCAAGGGAGGGGCAGAGAGAGAGACACACACACACAGAATCCGAAGCAGGCTCCAGGCTCTGAGCTGTCAGCACAGAGCGCAAACCAGGTCTCAAACCCATGAACCGTGAGATCATGACCTGAGCCGAAGTCGGATGCTTTACCAACTGAGCCACCCAAGCGCCCCTTAAGTTTTATTTATTTAAGTAATCTCTGCACCCAACATGAGGCCTGAACTCACGACCCCAAGGTCAAGAGTCATACTCTTTTCAGACTGAGCAAGCCAGGCACCGCTCTATGCATTTTTAAAATTCTTTTTTGGGGCCCCTGAGTGGCTCAGTCGGTTAAACATCCCACTTCAGCTCAGGTCATGATCTCATGGTCTGTCGGTTCGAGCCCTGCATCAGGCTCTGTGCTGACTGCTCAGACCCTCGAGTCTGCTTCAGATTCTGTGTCTTCTTCTCTCTCTGCCTCTCCCTCTCCCTCCCTCCCTCCCTCCCTCTCTCTCTCTCTCAAAAATAAACATTAAAAAATAATAATAATTTAAAAAAATAAAATTCTTTTCATTTTGCTATTCAGCTCAGTTGCTTTCTGTAGCAGTTAAGGTCTTCCAGATCACTAAACCATTCTTCTGCATCTGCCAACCTGCTGTTGATGCCTCCTAATGTATTTTTCATTTCAGTTATTGTATTCTTCAACTCTAATTGGTTCTTACATTTTCTCCTTTTTGAAGTTCTCAGTTCTTCCATTCTTCTCTGCAACCCAGTAAGCATCTTTATGATTAAACTCTGTCAGCCACAAGGCTTGTCTGTGTTTCATTTAGTTCTTTTCCTGATGTTCTGTCTTATTCTTTCATTGGGAGCATATTCTGTCTCTCCACTTTGCTTTACTTTCTGTGGATTAGGCAGAACAGCTACTTCTTAACTTGCAAGAACAGTCTTGTGTATTGTCATCCCCTGTGTAGACTGTGAAGCTGATCAAATGCATGCTGAGGTGTCCTGGGGCCCTCCAGAGGGTGCCCTGGCAAAGCAGCTTGATTCAAGGTGGGGCCCACCTTGTGCCTGGGGGTCCCATGGTATTCTGTGTATATGGCATTTTGGTAAGACATCTGTAGGTGAAGTGGGCATGGTCAAGGTGGTCCTGGAGCTCTCTGTGTAGAGGGTACCCTGGAAGGAGATCTGAAACCACAGTGGGTGTTGGTTGTTGCTATCCCAGGGCTCTCCAGGTAGAAAGTATCCTGGTAAGACAGCTGAAGCTGAAGCGGGTGTAAGCCAGGGTGTCCCAGAATGTTCAGTGAAGGGGTGTCCTGGCAGAGGACTGGATCTGGGCCAGCATGCGCTGGGAGTTCCAAGAGCTGAAGCAGGTGAGAGCCAGGAGTCCCTAGTGCACTGTGTGTTCAGGGTGCCCTAGGAAGCCATTTGAAGCCAAAGAGGTTGTGGGCCCAGTGTGCTGCATCACCTTGGCACAACTGCTAGATCTATAGTGAGCACCAGCTAGGGGTGTCCCAGAGTGCACTGTGCTAGAGCTGCTTGGTGGGGTGGTTGGGGCTGATGCGGGCTCTGGGGCTCACTGAAGCAGCAGGCTGGTTAGGGTACCTGGACCCTCTTCCCATCCAAGCTATCCAAGTTGAAGGAGAACATAAACCATGGTACTGCCCAGCCCCTCCAGCCTGGAGAGAGTACCAGCAGCAATCCCACCATTTGGCAGTGTTCTAGTGCTGGATCTTGAAATTCTGGTAAACTTTTAAACCCATTTTTTGTCTATACCCCAGGGTTTCTGTGGCTGGTGTGGGATGGGAACCTTGGTCTTGTTTGCACTGTCACAGTGGAAAGGGAATGTGAACCATGGCGCTCACCCCCTCTTTTGACCCAGACAGAGTTCCAGCAGCTCCCTCACTGTTTGGCAAGGTTCTGGAGCTAGTTCCTTGAAGTTCTAGTTGCTGTTTTAAACCTTGGCTCTTTTTCTGTGCCTCAAGGGATCCAGGGCTACCGTGGGCTAGGGGCCAGTGCAGCAGGCCATCCACAGGGCAGATGAATCTACTTAACCCTCAGTACTATCCCTCCCCACTGTAGTTCCTTAGTGTCTCTTCTCCTGCCATTCTCTATGTGGTCTCTATCTTGTGTTGTGCAGAAGCTGTTCTTTTCAGCCCTCAGTTCTTTTTGTTGTGTCCATGGCCATGGTGAAGGTGAGTTCAGGATCTTCCTGAGTCGCCATCTTGGGCCAGAACTCTTCCTGTACCATATTTACTTTATCCATTCATTTATCAGTGGACACTTGGGTGGCTTCCGCATCTAGGCTATGATAAGTAACGTTGCAGTAAACAAAGAGAGTGCATATATATCTTTTCAAAGTAGTGTTTTGTTTCTTTGAGTAAATACCCTGTAGTGGAATAACTGGATCGTATGGTGTTTCTGTTTAATTTTTTGAGGAACCTCCATACTGTTTTCCCATCAGCAGTGCATGAGTGGAAAGTTCCCTTTTCTTCACATCATAGCCAACAGTTATTTCTTACCGTTTTCATATTAGGCACTCTGGTGTGAGGTGATGTCCTTATGGATTTGATTTGCATTTCCCTCGTGATTAGTGATATTCAGCATCTTTTATGTGTGTTTGCCCTGCATATGTCTTCTTTGGCAAAATGCCTGTTTAGGTCCTCTGCCCATTTTTTAATCAGATTGTTTGATTTTTGGTGTTGAGTAGTATAATTGCTTTATGTAATTTGGATAGTAACCTCTTCTCATGTATGTCATTTGCAGATCTCCTGTTCAGTAGGTTGCCCTTTTGTAGATAGTTTTCTATGCTGTGCAAAGACTTTTTGTTTTAGTGTAGTCCTAACAATTTATTTTTCTTTCCTTCACCTGAGGAGACATTTCCATAAATATGTTGCTAAGGCCAATATCTGAGAGATTATAGTCAGTGTTTTCTTTTAGGAGTTTAATGATTTTGGATCTCACATTTAGGTCCTTAGTCCATTTTGAGTTTGTCCCTATGAATGGTGTAAGAAACTGGTCCAGTTTAATTCTTTTGCATATACGTGTCTAGTTTTCCCAGTACCATTGATTGAAGATCCTTTTCCCATTGTATGTTTTGCCTCCTTTGTTATAGATTAATTCACTGTGTAAGCATGGGTTTATTTCTGGGTTCTCCTGTTCCATGATCTATGTGTCTGTTTTTGTGCCAGTACCATACTGTTTTGATTACTAACAGCTTTACCTTAAATCTGGGATAGTGTTACCTCTAGCTTTGTTTTTCCTTCTGAAGATTGCTTTGGCTATTAAAGGTCTGTTACGGTTCTGAAAATTTTAGGATTATTTGTTCTAATTCTGTGAAAAATGCTATTGGTATTTAATAGGGATTCCATTGAATCTATAGATTGTTTTGGGTAGTATGGACATTTTTAACAATAGTAATTCTTCCAGGTTTCTAGAGCACAAAATATCTTTCCATGTGTTTTTGTCATGTTCAGTTTCTTTCATCAGTGTCCTATAGTTTTCAGAATACAATATAGGTGTTTCACTTCAGTGGTTAAATTATTCCTAGGTATTTTATTATTTTTGATTCAATTTAAATGGGATTGTTTTCTTAATTTCTCTTTCTGTGTATTAATTTTGTATCCTGAAAGTTTGCTGAATTTATCTGTTCAAATTGTTTTGGGTAGTCTTTAGTGTTTTTTGTTTTGTTTTGTTTTTAATGTTTGTTAATTTTTGAGAGCGCGCCCGCGCGCTCTCGCCTGAGTGGGGGAGGGGCAGAGAGAGGGAGACACAGAATCAGAAACAGGTTCCAGGCTCAGAGCTGTCAGCACAGAACTCAACGCGGGGCTTCAACTCACAAACCAGGAGATCATGACCTGAGTCGAAGTCAGACGCTTAACCACCTGAGCCACCCAGGCGCCCCAGTCTTTAGTGTTTTCTATATAAAGTATCATGTCAGGACACCTGCATGGCTCAGCATCCACCTCTTGATTTTGGCTCAGGTCATGAGATCAAGCCCCGGGTTAGGCACTGCCCTGAGCATGGAGTCTGTTTATGATTCTCTCTCTCTCCCGCTTCTTCTACCCTTCCCCCACTCATGCATTCTCTCTCTCTTTCAAAAGAAAATTTTTATTAAATAAGGTATCATGTCATCTGCAGATAGTGACAGTTTTACTTCTTTATGAATTTGGTTGCCGTCCATTTTCTGGCCTGATTGCTACAGCTATGACTTCCAGTACTATGTTCAGTAAAAGTTGTGAGTGTGGACATCCTTGTCTTGATCTTAGAGTAAAAACTTTCAGTGTTTCTACAATGAGTGTGATGTTAGCTGTGACTTTTTCATATATGGCCTATATTATGTTGAAGTATTTTCCCTCTAAAACCCACTTTGTTTTGAGTTTGTATCATGAATGGATGTGGAATTTTGTCAAATGCCTTTTCTGCATCTATTGAGATGATCACAAGGTTTGTATCCTTCTTACTAATTTGATATATCACATTGATTTGCGAAAATTGAGCCACTCTTGCATCCTTAGAACAAATCCCATTTGATCATAATGAGTGATCCTTTTAATGTATTGTTGCATGTGGTTTACTAATATTTTGGTGGGGATATTTGCATCTGTGTTCATATTGCCTGTAGTTTCCTTGTTTCATGTGAGGGCAGTGCTGGCCTCAGAATATACAGTATTTGGAAGCTTTCCTTCCTCCTCTATTTTTTGGCAACGTTTGAGAATAGGTATTAAATCTTCCTTACATGTTTGATAGAATTCACTTGTGAATCCATCTGGTTCTGGACTTTTTTGTTGTTCATTGGGTGTTTTTAGATTATTCAGTCTCATCACACATGATTGGTCCTTTAAAATACATACTCTCTTTTCTCCTTGATTCTATTTTGGAACATTGTGTGTTGCTGGGAAGTTATTTTTCATAATATTCTCTTACAATTCTTTGTATTTCTGTGGTGTCAGTTGTTTTTTGTCCTTTATTTATAAATTTTACTTGAGTCCTCTCTTTCTTGATGAGTCTGGCTAAAGGTTTGTTAATTTTATTTACCTTTTCAGAGAACCAGCTTTTGGTTTCATTGGTGTTTTTTGTTTTTTGTTTTCTGTTGTTTTCGTGTTTCTATCTCATGTATTTCTACTCTAACCTTTATTCCCTTCACTGACTTTGGGCTTTGTATGTTCCTCTTTCTCTAGTTCCTTTAGGTGTAATGTTAGGTTTTTCGAGATTTTTCTTGTTTCTTGAGGTAGGCCTATATCTCTAAATTTCCCACTGAGTACGGCTTTTGCTTGATCCCGAAGATTTTGGACCGTTGTTTCCATTTTTCTTTGTCTCCGTGTATTTTTTTATTTCCTGGATTTTTTTTTTTTTTAGTTGACCCATTGGTTGTTTAATAGCATGTTTTTTAACCTCCATGTATTTTGCTTTTTCAAGTTTTTTTTCTTGTAGTTCATTTCTAGTTTCATTCCTTTATTGTCAAAAAAGATTCAGGATATGATTTCAGACTTCTAAAATTATTTAAACCTGTTTGTGGCCTAAGATGATCCGCCTGGAGAATGTACCATGTGCACTTGAATGTATATTCTGCAGTTTTGAGGTGGAATATTCTGTGTATATTTGTTAGGTCTATCTGGTCTAATGTGTCATTCAAAGCCACTTTTTCCTTGTTGATTTTATGTCCAAATGTTTATGAATTGATATAAGTGGGGTGTTTAAGTCACCTATCGTATTATTACTAATTTCTTACTTTATGCCTGTTAATATTTGTTTTATGTATTTAGGTGCTCCTATTTTGGGTGCAGAGATATTTGTAATTCTTAAATTCTCTTGTTGAAGTGATTATTTTATCATTATGTAATTCCCTTTGTCTCTTGCTGCAGTCTTTGACAAAAGTATTGCTACCCCGACTTTTTTTTCCCCTTGCATTTGCATGGAATATCTTTACTCTTACCTTCACTTTCACTCTGTGTGTCCTTAGGCCTGAAGAGTCTCTTGTAAACCACATATAGATCAGTCTTCCCCCCCCTCCCCACCCCCCCCCATTCAGTCACCCTGTGTCTTTTGATTGGAGCATTTAATTCATTTACATTTAGGGGCGCCTGGGTGGCGCAGTCGGTTAAGCGTCCGACTTCAGCCAGGTCACCATCTCGCGGTCCGTGAGTTCGAGCTCCGCGTCAGGCTCTGGGCTGATGGCTCGGAGCCTGGAGCCTGTTTCCGATTCTGTGTGTCCCTCTCTCTCTGCCCCTCCCCCGTTCATGCTCTGTCTCTCTCTGTCCCCAAAAAAATAAATAAACGTTGAAAAAAAAAATTAAAAAAAAAATTAATTATTCATAGGTATGTATTTTCATTTGTTAATTGCTTTGTGTTTTGTAGTTCTCTGTTCTCTGTCGCTTTTTGGTTTAATGGCTTTAGTGTTATGCTTGGATTCCTTTTTATTTTTTATGTATATCAGATTTATTTTTAGTTACCATTGGGTTCATATATAACATTCTCTGTATAGCATTCTGTGTAAAGTTGATGACCACTTATATTTGAACATGTGCCCAAAAGCATTCAAAAGTACTAAAAGCACTGTTTTTAACCTTCCTTTCCACATTTCGTGTGTATGATTTCATATTTTACGTCTTTTTGTGTATCCCTTGACTAATTTTTTTTAATGTTTATTTATTTTTGAGAGTAAGAGCACGAGTTGGGGAGGGAGAAGGACAGAGGGTCCAAAGCAGGCTTTGTCTTGATAGCAGAGAACCCGATGTGGATGTGACGCACCAACTCACGAACCACAAGATCATGACCTGAACCAAAGTTGGATGTTATCTGACTGAGCCACCCAGACACCCTTCCCTTGACTAATTTTTGTAGATGTAATTGATTTTACTACCTCTGTGTTTTAATCTCCATACTGGCTTTAAAGTATTTAATCTACTACCTTCACTATATGTTTGCTTTTACCTTTGAGAATTTTTCCTTTCCTAGTTTTCTTCTCATTGTGGCCTTTTCTTTCTGCTTAAGGAAATCTCTTTATCATTTTTTGTGAGACTAGTTAACTGGTGATGAACTCCTTTAACTTTTGTCTGGGAAACTATTTGTTTCTAAATGATAACCTTACTGCCTATTCTTGATTGAAGGTTTTTCCCTTTCAGTATGTTGAGTATATCATGCCACTTCCTTCAGGCCTCAAATTTTCTTGTGAAAATGGGATTTCCCTGATCGTAACTGTTTTCTCTTGCTGCTTCTAAGATTCTGTCTTTATCTTTAGTCTTTGATACTTTAATTATTATAGGTCTTGGTGCAGACCTCCTTAGATTTACCTTGTTAGGGGCTCTGCATGCTTCCTGGATCTGGCTGTTTCTTTCCTTTCCCAGGTTAGGGAAGTTTTCAACTATAATTTTTTTTAAGAAGTTTTCTGACCCCTTGTTTTTCTTTTCTTTTTCTGGCATCCCTATAATATGAATGTGTTACAGTGGA